TGCAGTTCAGGCTGGCCTTGAGCTCATGTTGTAGCCCAGGCTGATCCCGAACTCGCAACAGTCCTCCTGCCTCAGCCTCCTGAGTGCTGGGATTACAGGCGTGTGCCACCATGCCCAGCTGCATTTTCAATTTACAGTATTTCCAACTTACGATGATTTTATCTGGACATACGTTCACTTTGAATTGAGGATCATCTGTATTCTGAATACAAGTCCTGTATCACATACATGACTTAGGAATATTTTTTTCCCTTCTACAGGCTATCTTCTCTCTTGCCTGACATAAAAATGCTTCTCACCACGTGTTATGGTCTGTGTCTGGATGCCCCTCAAAGCCTCAAGCAGTCATTGGGGGGCAGTGCTTTCCCCAGACAGCTCAATCTAGAGTTTGTGATTGGTTCATGATCTAGTGCTGGGATTGGGGGTGTGAGTGCCACACCCGCCCTGGGGTAGGTTGCCCGCATGCACTATAAGGGATGGAACGAGGCTTGCTCCCCGCTCCTCTCTTGCTGCTTTTGCTGTCTTCTGCCACCTCAGCTGCCATAAATGGTTGCCCCTCTGCCATGCCACCCTGCCTTGGAACCAGCTGATTATGGACTGAAACCTCTACAAACAGTGAACTAAATAAGCCTTTCCTCCTTTAACTTTGGGTGTCAGGTATTTTGTCCCAACAATGAGACTAATACAGGACAATTAAAAATGACCTAAGGCCTTTCACCAGAAGGGAAGAGTGTATTTGAAAGGCAAGAGATCCCTTGGGGCATGTTTTTAGTGTTACCACCTCCTGTTGTTAAAAGTTGAAGGAAGGCTGGGGATTTAGCTCAGTGGCACAGCGCCTGTCTAGCAAGTGCAAAGTCCTGAGTTCAGTTCCCGGTACCGGGGAAAAAAACCAAAAAACAAAAGTTAATGCAAAGTAAGGGTTGTGACTGTAGCAACTCTTTAATATGATTTTAATGTAGTTTTTAGATATATGTTTGTAATCAGGTTAATTATTCAAAGCATTGTGATTTTAACCTTGAATTTTAATCACCCTTTGGATATTTTGCTTTTGGCACGGAAATGAATACAACAATAATTTTATATATGTAATTGTTATATTAGTGTAAATCTGAATAGACCAAGACATGTTAACTTTTCACAAGTCTTCTGCAGAAGACTATGATTTAAGGAAATGTGTCTGGTTATCAAGTTGACCAGGGGTGGATTGTGGAGTTCCCAGGCATGGAGTTCAAAGTCAGTGTGCAGAGTTCAGAGAAGTCAGCTACAGCCCTAACATGGGGAGTTCGCTAAAAATCTAGAGGGAGGTCTGAGTGTAGAGGGGGTGCTGCAGGCGCTCAAGCTGCTGTCTAAAACCCACCTTTCCTTAAAGGCTTTGACAAATCTTGTTTGTCTGTCTCCCTCTCCCTCCTCACCTCCTGTGTATGTGTGTCTGTCTGTCTGTCTCTCTGTCTGTGTGTGTGTGTACTGGATTGAACCCTCGCCTCACGTAGGTAAGGCAAGTGCTATACCCCAGCCTTTTTTACTCTGAGACAGCATCTTTCTAAATGCCCAGGCTGGCCTGCAACTGGCATTTTCTTGCCTCACCCTTCCACTGCTAACTGGGATTACAGATGTGCAGCACCACTCCCAGCTTCGTGGCTTCGTGTTAAATATCGTAACTTCATGTTAAATATCGTAACTTCTCATATGAAGACAAGAACTACCGCTTTCACTTGTTCTCTGGCTGCTACTGAATCAATTAAGTTTAGTAGATTTAATCGTTCTTCAACATTTAATAGACTTACTGCCTTAGGTAATCAAATTGCTGTAGATATTTCAGACTACAATTACAAATTTAATGTGCCTGATTTTCTCAAACATTTTAAATGCTCAACAGGGCAGCCTTACAGATCAGAAGAGCAAAAGATTCTAAGCATTCGTGCAACTGCTGTAAATTAATAACCTAAACTTACAAATGTAGCCCATCAGGCTCTCTTGACCATTTCAAGAACCTGAAATCCTACAGAAAGTAGGACAAAGATCCCAGAAGCTTCCATACAGTATTCATTTTTCGCATTATCAGAATATTTATTTGTTTCCTTTCTGGAGTTAGAGAGTTACTCCCCCAACAAAAAGGTCAGAATTCTCCCCCAAATGTGCTCAATGGCAACCAATCTATGTCACTCGCAAATCTGTTGTTTCACCTACAAGTTGTCAGACACTGGCAGGGGACATTAGCACATCAGAGGAGAGAGAAGGAAGCTGTCATCTAGAGGGAGAGAGTGGGCAGAACAGGAGCAAACCATGAAAGCCAGCGCTGAGCCCTGGGATAGATTCATGGCCAGTGGAGGAACCACCTCACTGGGTCAAGCAAAATGCACAGCACCCCTTTCTAGTTCCTGCATTTTAAGAGGCAAGGGCTAGTCCAGATCATCCAAGCACGGTAACAGTCCGTGTACCCCTCTGGTCCGAGCAGACACTAAGCACTGTGTGTGCTTGGACTTGTTCTCCAGCCTTGCTAAACTCAGGTTCCACAAGCTCAAACAGGGGTTGGATTCCTGAGATCCTTTCTAAGTTTAAGGGCCAGTGAATCTAAGTCAAAGAGCACTGTGAGCAAAAGAGGGGGTATAACAAAATACCCGTGTTTAGAAGGAAGTGAGTAAACCAGTTAGACCAGAAGAGATAACTGCTGCCAGCGAAGGTGTTACGTACTTTAACCTTGAAAGCGAGCCGGGTGTGGTGGCACACGCCTGTAATCCCAGCACTCGGGAGCCACATTGGGCTACAAAGTGAGCTCAAGGCCAGCCTGAACTGCATAGCGAGACCCTGTCTCAAAAAGACAAAAAAAAAAAAAAAATTGAAAGCAGAGAGTCTTGAACTTTACAGTGAATTAAGAATCATCTGAGATGATTTAATTGAAATATAGGTTGTTTCAAAATGTAGATCTCTAAGCCCCTTAACACTTCCCATCAAGATTTTATTTAGTGGGTCTGAGAGGGAGCCCCGACATTGGTAAGGTGCTGTTTAAGTCCCCCAGGTGATTGTGAGATAGAGCGGAGTTTGACTGCAGGAGCCTGCAGATGTTTACTTGAAAGGCTTAGGTGAAACACAGTCTACTGGAGGCAGCAGCGGCTCCCGCAAAGCAAGCTGCAAAACACATTAAGATTGAGAAACTTGGGCCGGGCCTGGTAGCGCATGCCTGTAATCCCAGCACTCGGGAGGCTGAGGCAGGAGGATTGTTGTGAGACTAGCTTGGGCTACAAAGTGAGCTCAAGGACAGCCTGAACTGCATAGCAAGACCCTGTCTCAAAAAGGCAAAAAAAAAAAAATCGAGAAACTTGACAAATGGCAAAAATCTGGGGCCACAGTGGTCCCCAACTCAAAAACTGCATGTCTCTGCTGCCTATATTCCTCAGCGGTCACCAGAGAAACGGCACTAGAATTAACCAACACACATCTCCAGAATTTAGCTGCTATGGAAATTCCAAGTAGAGCTGCAGCAGAGACAACTGGCCACGGCCCCACATTCCACCCGTCTACCCCAGCAACAGAACCCTCCACTTTCCGCAGAACACAAGGCCACCAGGAATAAAGACTACCTCCGCCAACCCCTCTCGCCACCAGACAGGGCCAAACTCTAGCCAAAGACATATAAATTTGAAGTCTGCCTATGACTGTGGGAAATTTCCTTAAAAAGTAGGGGTGAGCCCTCCCTCTCCCTCCCTCCTTTCTTCCAGCTAGCGTGCCCTGCATGGATGGCGTTCCAGCAGCCATCTGGATCAATCCAGTATTCTGGGAAGGGAAGTCCTGCCTGGCAGGGCAACAGAAGAGAAGGCTTGGTATCTGTGTGCTGAGGAAAACCATCTCATCACCCGTCTGCATTACTTTCTTGTTGCTGGGACAAAATAGGTACCTGAGGCCCACAAGTTAAAGGAGAAGTTTATTTTGGTTCACGGTTTATAAAGGTTTCAGTCCATAGTTAGCTGGCTCCGGGACAGGGCAGCCTGGTGGAGTAGAAGGAGTTCAGGGCAGGGCAGGAAGGAAGCAGGAAGTGCTCGAGGTAGGAAGAGGAGGGATGTAGTTATATCCAGGCCACGCCCACAGTGACCCTCCTGTCCCCACCGGCTTTCCTCCCAACATCACACCCAGCTATAAACCCATGGTGGACAGATCCAGAGTTACACACCCATGTCCAGTCACCTCCCAAAAGCCCCACCTATGAGCACATGAACTGCTGGGGGAACATCTAGATATAAAGTATAACATCAGCCAGGGGTGGTGGTTCACGCCTGTAATCCCAGCACTCGGGAGGCTGAGGGAGGAGGATCCTTGGGAGTTCAAGGCCAGCCTGGGCTACAAAGTGAGATCAGGGCCGGCCTGAACTGCACAGCGAGACCCTGTCTCAAAAAGACAAAAAAAAAGAAACAAAGCGGGGTGTTCAGAACACGCACACAGAACAGATCCCTAACTATGGGAGATTGATAGCAGCTAACAATTCCTGTTCACTGTCGATGTTCCCAGCACTGTGTTAAGCATCTCTCTGTCACTGTGCATTCATTAAGCTCAGGAAGTGGAGCACTGTGCTAGTGTATCATAGCAAGTAAGGGGTAGGGCTCAGATTTGAAAGGAGTTCTAACCCCAAAGCCAGCAGTCTTAAACACTGTAACACGCCAAGTATAGCACCTGCGGAGCTGCGGAGCCCTTACAAGCAGCACCTTCCTCATGAGGAATGTAATCCTTACGCACTGCAAACACGTACTCATAAAGATAAATTTTAAAAGCAGCAACTGTGAGAACTACCTACCACAGGGAAGGTTTGTGATGAAGCAGTCCTTGAAGAAACACTATAAAACTGGCCACAAAGAAAACCTGAGGCTCTCACACACACCTGCACTTGCAAAATACATAGATGCCAGAACTATCCATCTGCGTCTTCAGAACAAAGCAAGCCCACGGCAACGCGAACAGGTACCTATTCATATACCAATGTGCCGTCCTAACAGGGCACTGTAGTAATAAAGGATTGCCTCATAAAAAGAAAAAGAACCCTGAAGGGTACAGGCATAGCAGATATGAGGAGCAGCTGCGACCTTATGGCTGAAATAGAGGCCCCAAGGGAAGGGTTCCTTCTCCCCTAGCTGGGGAAGCTGGTGTTGGAAAGCGATGTGGACGGAAATAGCCCAGCACTGAATGTAAATACTCCTTTGAAAAATACCTAAGTTCAAGGTATACGTTGGGAAAAGTAGAGCTTTTATCTCTACCGAGAGACTTTGGAACCATCACACACCACCTTCCACAGACACCCAACTGTTTTCTGTGTACACATCTGAACTGTCCTGCTACAAGCTATTCTTTTAGGGCAAGGATTGTTTCATCTTCTTTCTAGAACCAGCCCTACCCTGGGTACATACAGTATGTCCAACAGTTTACCTTTGAATATATGAACGCTGAGAGAGGACTCCTATTAAAGTATGCTTTTTTGGTCAGGTGTAGTGGCACATGCAATCCCAGCATTTGGGAGACTGAAGCAGGAGGATCACTGCAAGTTCAAAGCCACCCTGGGCTACATAGTCAGTTCAAGGCCCACCTGAACCGCATAGCAAGACCCTGTCTCAAAAAACAAAGCAAATGAACAAAAGTATGCTTTTTTTCCCATTAGTTTTTTCTTTTTTTTTTTTACTGTAAAAGCAAAAGAAGAAGGAGGAGGAGAAGAAAAAGCCTATTAAGAAAAATGCAAAGGTAGAACAATAAGACAAAAATAATTAACAAATTCCTGCTACCCACTATTAGTACTTTGGAATATCTTATGCACAAATCACATTTTTCTTTTTAAAAAAATATATAGATGCACACACAATCCACTCCATATGAAATTTTAGGGCTGGGGATATAGTGCAGCGGCACAGCACCTGCCTGCCAAGCACAAGGTCCTGAGTTTGATTCCCAGTACCAAAAAAAAAAAAAAAAACCAATTTATATCGTGCACGTTTTACTTAACATAAAAAGCTTTTCTCCGACTGAACTCTGTTGATAGAGTGTGTGTGTGTGTGTGTGTGTGTGTGTGTGTGTACACTGATATGGAAACTATATTAAATGTAGTCTCATTCTTAAGTACCACACACACGTGATGCTGGGTTAATCCACTGATGGGTTTTTGGCCAGGTGTGACATGACGTTAGATGTCTGCTTAACCACTTCCCTTTTGGAACTTCTAGTTTCTACTTTTCTTTATTATGAATAATCCTATAATGAAAAATTCTTTCTGGTAGGCCTATTTCCTAAGACAGCTGTCCCAAGTGTGAAATTAGTAGGTGAGATGGTACAGGTGCATCTAAGGCCACTGAGGAAAATTTAACAACACGGGACCACTGCTCCTAAACATGGAAATGGGTAGCTTGCCCAGTTTTACTTTATTTTTTATCAGTGTAGTTCGTAGGGCGTGCAGTTCACAGTCATCCTGGGGGTGGGTACATGTACATAACACTGTACACCTTGGTTCCTTTTTTTTAATCTCTTTCCCCTTCCCTTCGGCCTCACTCCCTCCTCCTCTAAATCTCCGTTCCCCATTCTCAAGGGGCAGAATGGGTAGGCAGTCATTGCTCCCTCCAAAATCCACAAGATTTGTGGTGAATTGTGCTGACAGATACCATCGTTACAGGGTCCCTAAACTGATTTCCCTTTTTAAACAGAACACGGGGCTGGGGATATAGCTCAGTGGTATAAGCGCCTGCCTGGCAAGTGCAAGGTCGTGAGTTCGATTCCCAGTACCGCCAAAAAATAAATAAATAAATAAACAAACAGGACACAAATCAGAAGCTCCTTCCAGGCCCTTTACTCTTCCAAACAGGAACGTGTGCGCCCACCCAGCACCTCCCTCTCCCCCCGCCCCCCCACCGCCGACAGCCCTCGGCCCTCAGCGACTGCACAGCTCTAATCTAGACCCATTTGCCCTTCTGACGATGGTGGGGAACGGCCTGAGTCCAGGACACCCTTCAGCCTGTCCTCCTGGCAAGGTGAGATGGCTCCCTGGGCTTCGAACTCCCTGCGCAGGGGCTTAGCTGGGCTCGGTCTCCGAGAGTGGGCTTAAGGCACAGGCCCGCCGGGGTGGAGTCCCAGGGAGGGCCGGGGACTCGCGCGCCGTCTCCACCCCGGCCTTTCCGCCGTCTCCCCTGCCGCCCTCCGGACCTGGTCTGGACTTCGAGGCTCCTCTGCCACGGAGGCGTCTGAGCCCCCGGGGTCGTCCTCCTGCCTGCCTTCCCTCTCCCGTCCGCGCCGTCCAAGCCAGTCGCAGCCCCGGGGCCGGGGTCTCCACCACCCCAAGACTCCGATCGCCTGCGAAGACACCCCCTCCCCTCCCTCCGCACCTCTCTCGCGTCGGTACGCCACTGTCCCTCTGTCCTTCCCGCCAGGAATGGCTTTCTCTGCTGCTCCACCAACTCCCCTCCGTCGGCCTGCGGGCTCCGGCCCTGGCCCTGGCGTCGCACCCCGCAGGCCCCTCTGGTGACAGTGCCTCGGTCCCCCGAGGCCCCCGTCACATGCCCCTCCCCCAGGTCTGTCCCTCCGCGCCCCCGCCCACATCTGTGCTGCTGTCCGCCCGCAACCGTGCTCCTCAGCTGCCAGAGTCTGTCCCTGCGTCCAGCCAGGTCCCGGGCCACCGTCCCTCCCTGGAGCCGGGGAGTCTGAGGCCGCGCACCCCTCCTTCGCCCCGGCAACTCTTCCCTCTTCCACTTTCTCTACTTTGAGCCCATCCCAGCAGAGTCCAGGAAGTAGCCTGGCACCGGAGACTGGCGGCGGTGGCACCCAATGAGGCGAGCCAGCGGCGGCGGAGGCCCCGCCTAGAGAACAAATCAGGCCAATGAGCGCGCGGAGGCGGGACTTCCGCTGTCCCGAAGAGGGCGGGGGAGCGAACTGTTGTGGTGCGGCGCGTTGGGCGGGCGGCGGCCGGGCGGCCCTGGGGC